CGAATGAAATTTGAAATCTTACTGCTTGATGTAGCGATAAATGAGTCTGATCTGTACAGTGTAAGATATGTTCAGGTGTTGGTTCCCATGAAGCAGCATGCTGCAGTGGAAAAATGAAAGTTAGCATTCCAATGTTCAGGTTCTCAATGCAATAATGCAGGTCAGCACAAAAAAAAAAAAAAAAAGGTCAAGTATTTTTAGGTTGGGTATTTCCTCTGCGTTTCCTGAATAAAAGACTGAAGATGTAGGTGACTAGAATATTGAAAATATCTGCCAAAGTTTGGAAATGCTTTTTCCCATGCACAAACTGGGGCCAGGAACCAGTCTGCCTGGACAATCTTTCTTTGTTACAAATTCAGTCCTAGCTCACATACTTTCCAAGTTTGCCTAACCCTGTAAGTAAGTCCTCATTAAATACCTCCTGGTGAGACAGAGAGGTCTTTAGGTTCATACCTCGTTTCACCAAAAGGAGAGATATTTCAGAGAGACAGATACTTAAATCCTTCCTAAACTTCTCCACAGGCTGAGTTTAGTCCACTGGAGAAGCCTGGAAAATCAGATCTCATTTAGACTGCTGATGGTGACTTCTCCTGCAATAAAAAAGGGGTTGGAACACTGCCCGGAGAAGGACAGGACTGGTTTTTGGTCAAGAGGAAATGCAACCTGGGTCTGTCACAGTGTAAAAGAGGGACCAGACTGCCAGGTCATGGCCATAGTTTTGCTGGAGCAAGCTATGCAAGAGAGCCAAGGCCAAAAAACAAATGAAAGAGGGAGAATTCTCTAATCTAGGATTATGCAGGTGGCATGGAAGAAAACTCTAGGAACATTTTGCCTCTTGTTTTGTTTAATGTTAAATGCATACATACTCCAGGAAGAAGGAGTGTTAGCTCCAGTTCCCCATGTTTGCGGATGAGCCTAGATGCTTCCCAGCTGCTGGGGTTGCTGACTTGATGTTGCACCCACTTGAGCCTGCTTTGGGCCAGGAGCCCTGCCTTCTTGGCCAGCTGCTGTAAAAATGGTGTTACCAGATACCTGAATTGTCTTGGCATCTCTCAGGGATGGTGGCTGCCCCCTCAACCACCACCCTAAGGGAGCAGAGGACTTAACCCATTCGTTCCCACTTTACCCATGGGCATTTGTGTCACCAGATCATAGAATCATATAATAATTTAGGTTGGAAAAGACCTCTAAGATCATCAAGTTTGACTGTTAACCAAGCACTGCCAAGTCTGCCACTAAACCATGTCCCTAAAGGCCACATCTACACATCTTTTAAATACCTCCAGAGATGGTGACTCTACCACTTCCTTTGGCAGCCTGTTCCAATGCTTGATAATGCTTTTGGTGAAGAAATCGTTCCTATTATCCAATCTAAGCCTCCACTGGTGCAACTTGAAGCCATTTCCTCTTGTCTTATTGCTTGTTACTTGGGAGAAGAGACCAACCCCCACCTCACTACAACCACGTTTCAGGCAGTTGTAGAGAGCAATAAGGTCCTCCCTGAGCCTCCTTTTCCCCAGGCTAAACAGGCCCTCAGCCCTCCCTCAGCTGCTGCTCCTAAGACTTGTTCTCTATACCCTTTCACCAGCCCTTGTCATAGCCATCCAGCTGGGCACCTCTGGCCAGGGAAAGGCTGAGCAGATCTGGATGCCGAGAAGGTTGGCCTCTGCAGGCACTACTGTTCCCTTCAGAGTGAGGGGAGAGGAAAGGAATGAGGAAGGCAAGATCATCCTCCACAGGTTTTTCAGAGGTGGCTGCCTCTCTCCATACACACAGCAGGGGATGTAGGCAACCTGTCCTGTCTGTTCTCTAGCCAAGGCAGCTTCAGCTTCAGAGAAGTCAAACCGAAATGAGATAGCTGGCACAGACAGACTTGACAGGACCCACTGCTTCCTGTCATATTGTCTTTCTGATGAAAAGATGGTGGTTTCTGGGCAGGAAGAGGAGGGGAGGAAGAACCACAGGGCAAGACTGCCCTTCTGCTTTGCAAGACTTTCTTTTATTTCTGCTCAGCAATATCACATCAGCAACAAAATAAAAATAATATATAGAGAAGGACCCATACAAAGCTCAATCGTAAAATATCAGGTCTGACAGCCCCACAGCATTTGGGCTGATGCTTTAACCTCTCACAGGTGGTTAATAATACCTAACAGAAGAGTAAAAAGTTTAGAATTGTAAAATACTCTCTCAATCCTGGTAGTAATTACCTCTTAGCAAAGTTAGTGCTTGCCAACTCAAAAAGAATCAATCCCCTTCTGTTATAGAAAGGGGGAAAATGCAACAGCTATGAGAACTGTGAAGCTTATTTTCAAATAGATGCCTCAGCATTTTGATATTTTCTGTGGGATTAACTAGTAACACAGGAAGGCTAATACATATGCAGAGCTTTCATTTGCTTCTGTAACAATTTGCCGGGGGCAAATTGAACTGTGTCATGAGAAACGGTGTTGTTTCCCCTCCTTCTTTGTCAGATGGAGCAAAAGACTTGTTAGTAACATAGAAACAATTTGCAAATTAATGTCAGTTCAGGGAAAGTTTCCTCTTGCCTCATATTTCTGCTTTTCTTAAGTTTCTCTTTTTCTTACCCAAATAGAAAGGGCTGCCATTTTAGAAGCACAGAAACCACATAATGAAAGGTGTAAAAGCATTACAGGAAAAGCATAACATAAAATAGAACTGAAGCTCTTTCTCTGCTGATCTGTTACACTTTTCCCCCTTCAACTGAGTTGCTTCTAGCTCAAAAAAAAGATGATTTGCCCTGCTCTGTGTATAACCCCAGCTCCTAATGATGGCTTTGTGCTGTGCCTCTGAGGCTGGTTCTGTGAGCATCTGGTGCCGATGGGTACAGGCAGTGATGGCTGCAGAATACTAATGCTGGCACTGGCTCCCACAAGGCTCTACTTGTGAAAAATGCTTTAGCCATTCAGTGTCCATGCACCATGCTGAGCAACAGGAGGACAGAAAAGCCATGCTCAGGGACTTTTTTTCAATGCAGAGCAAGAAGGCGTCAGCAACGATGGCTTTCTGCTTCACATTGTTATGCCCAGCCTTCTTTCAGAGCTCCAGTCATTTATATGCATAAATATCAAGCCTGTCACTTGTTGCAGGCTTTGATAGCATTTGTGTAACAAAGGAATCAGAGGGAGAAAAGAGCTGAACATCTTCTATTCCAATCTTAGAGAATGAATGACTGCGTAGCTATGGTGACTACTTTCTTTCTGGTTTTATTAGATCACTGTCCTCCGCAATTTGTTTTCCTTCCTGTCCTGCTGCCCCATGTAAAGGACCATGAGAGGACCTCCCCCCACACACCCCTTTGTTTTTCTCCCACACTGTGACTACCCCACATGGGGATATCTCAAAGAATTACCTACCGGTAACGATTGCCACAGCAAAACCTCTAGCCACATACTGACACAGTTTTTCTTTTTGCTTCAATTTTTTTTTCCATTAGCTATCTGACAAAGTCACTCCACATCACCCATTTCACACAGAGATACAAGAACTCTTCTGTAATTGTATTTTTGATTATTTATTTGATTTTTCTCTGTCTCCCTTAGGCAAGATGCATGCTTGCTATTTGCTGTGCGTACCATATCTTTCTGCAGCTTCAAATTGAGGCTGATGGTATGTTTACCAGCCATCTCTGTCTGGACAGCTATGAGTTGCATCTAGATTTCCTCTGGGTCTTACAGCTATTTTGTATTGAAAGACAACTAAAATACACTACTCGTATAAAAGCTGCTTTTCCATTAAAGCAATTGGTGAAGTATCAAAAGAATGTTATTCTGATGCCAGGAAGGAGGAGGGAGAGGTTTGTACTGATTGCTAATAGGACAATCCCCCTGTTAAATGTGGTCTGCACAATTAAAAGCTTGGGAAGTCTTTCTGAGGTTTCACACATTTGGGCTTTGTGCCTAGGCTCAGGGTCTCAAGCATGGAGGTGGTTTCAGAACACCACACAAGGGGAAGCATTTCAGCAAAAATATCAAGGTTACATGGCTAATTTATTAAACTGTCTTGGATCACCATGCACATGCATCTTTATTGGCATGCAACTCCAGCAGAACAGAAGTAACAATTTCTACTCAGCCCTCCAACCACACATTGCTCCACTTCTGAGCTATCAAAGAGGTTTCAGGGACAAACAACAGATAGAGCCCCTGTGAACATTGCCAAGGCTAACTAGAGGTTTCTTTCTTCCCCCGAGTAAGTGTAATTTTTTTGTGCTTCCTGCTTTTATGAGTCTTCCCTAATCTTATAAAAACCTTGAAGTAGTAGTATTATTGTAGTCTTGATAGTCTGAAGATATAAACAGTGGAAGATTTGTTGGGACAAGTAATATATTTTCCTGAAGAAAGACTTATGTGCCTGAAGGCTTCTCTGCTTTTTTTTTTTCCCCACAACTGTATCAGTTGGTGTAATAAAAGATATTACTTCTCCCTACAAACTTCGCCTTACTTATTAGAACAATTTCCTCCAGGACACAAAACATTCTTAACTGAGTGTTAAGAAAACTCCAACGTCAGGGTAATAGAGTGGAGTTCAATGGTGTGATTTCCATGGCCGAAGCCAGTTGGCACAAATTAAAACAAGGTGGAATGAACATTGTCCACCATGATCATTCTGCACATCACTAATATCCCTTTCACCCCCACTCTTCATCAGTATTTTTGTCTTTCCTACCTCTCACCTATATGGAGCAGCTCTTTTCTAACACATGAATACACACTGAGTAATGTCTTCTGGATGCTACTTCAGTAGAAACAGTAACTCTTATGGTATGCATGATGAAATTTCTCTGCCTTCTGATTGTCTTCTTGGTTGCTGTATCTCTGTACATTTTTCTGTACACCTCTCTCAAGGTGAGCTTGAGAGAGATAAAAAAAAAAGCCCACTGTGACTGAGCGGACAGTGTCTTCTTTAAGGATCGCCTAAATGTTGTCAACTTGGTTACAAATTACAAAATTAAAGGATTTTTTTTTTAAATATTTCAGGTGAACTTTCTGTGGAAGGCATACAAGACCCATTCCTTGTTAGTGTACATATTATCACAGACCCAGGTGAATCCAAGACTCTTCAGCAAGCCATCGATAAGCTTCTAGCCTGGATCCATCCAGACCTCCAGCTGTTCCGAGTCTCAGAAAGACGAGTACCCAAGAAGCGCAGGAAGCCAGTTAAGGCTGGTGTTTCTCAGCCAGCCCTTGCCATCATTCTGTTTCTGCAGGAGGAGTATGGAGAAGAACCAATCTTGCAGCTCCATGAAACCTTTCAGCGGCCACCTTGGCATTACCACCACACAGAGCTAATGCATGGAAAATTCCTCCCTTACATGCCTTGCAGCCAAGACTTTTACACTTTGGCTCCAGAGACTCCTCTGTGGGCCATTCGCCCAGTGCACTACGGGAAAGAAATGATCCGCTTCACCATATACTGCAGGAATGAAAACTTTGGGGACATTTTGAAATTGTATGAGTTAATATTGAAAAGACCTGTATGTCAGAAAAAAGCAGACTTTTGTGTTTTTCCTGTCTATTCTAACATGGAAATAGACATTCAGTTTTCTTTAAAGAAACTTCCAAAGGGCCAGGTGCCAATGACAACAGAGTCAGCAGTGCTGGAGTTTAGAGTAAAAGATGTGGGGCAGCTTGTGCCTCTCTTGCCCAACCCATGCAGCCCCATCAGTGAAGACAGATGGCAGACAGAAGACCATGATGGAAATAGGATCCTTTTGCAGGTAAGTTCAGTACAAAGGGAAACAGAAGCACATTTCTTGGTTTTGTGCAGGAAAGCTTAACCTGAAAAGACAGAAAAATAGCCTTTTTTTTTTCTAGGAGAAAGAGCCAGGACAGTACTGCTAAACAAAGAATCTGAAACCCCTTGCTGTGTGTGTAACTAATCAGAAAAGAGTGACTGATATTATCCAGATATCAGTTAACCTCAGTTTATGCTAAGAGTGATGTGAGGTAGCTGTTTAAAAAGTACAGAGAGAAGGAATTATGAGCCTGACTGAAGAAATGATGGCTGTTGAGTTTTGTTTTATAAGAAATATGGGCACAGAACTGATAGGGATTTCTAAAATAGCCCTCAGTTATGAGATTTTTATGGAAGACAAGCAGAATTCCTGATGGTACTCATTTTATTCTAGCACCACTGGGTGACATACTGCATCTCTCTTTTGCACAGTGATTATCAGGATGAAGAGAGAGGTGATGAAGGAAAAGAAATGCACCCTGAAGAGCAGCCTAAGAGAGACATTCCCACAGACTCTCCTTTTGAACTAATCTCAAGTGCTTGTAACTAAATCCTGAAAGAGAGTTTATTTGTTAGGACATCTGTAGGCACCATATCTGGGCAATGTATCAGCATGCTCTGCTTCACTACACCACATCCAAGGGAGATAAAAAGATAACAAGTACCAAGCTTTTAATAGCTGCCTGCCTTGCAGAGAGTGTATCTGGCAATCCAGAGCCAGGTTAATATGCATTCTTGCACTGCAGAGGTATTTATTGCTGCTTACATTTGTATCGAGGAGCGCAGGCCCTCACCTTTGAAAGACAATTGTTCAGATTTCAAAGGGTATTTTTTTGGACTGAATTTCATTCATGTGGCTTGTCCGGTTGTCTGGCCTTTTTTCTGTGGAAGAAGTGTTGGGGATGCCATCCTTCCACCATACAGACCTCCCAGCATGCAGAGAAGTGTGTACACTGTGTGTAGCACAGTGCCTCGGGATTTGTAGCTCCTGGGATTGAAAATCCAGGTATACAGGGCATCTGTGCTCTGGTGAGTCAGACCCAAGTGGTAGTGAAACCTTTCGATGCTGCTTTGCAGATGCCACCCTCAGAGAAACCCCATGCCAGAGCTGAAAAACACACATATAGAGCTGAGAAGGGCAGCCTCCTTGCCCATCTGGCAAGACAGTCACCAATTTGTCAGTTACTGATTGTACTGTAGGCATATCCATGTCTGAGATAACTTGTAAACTGAAGCTGACAAGAGTCATCATGAAAATTATACACAGCAACCACACTCACAAATATCCCCTTTTCCCTGTTCTTTCTCAGGAGGTTTCTGCTATGTGGTTTAACTTTATGGGATCTTGCACCAGTTTCAAGTAAATTGAAGGGAAGGGTAAAAAAAAATAGGGCTTCTAAATAAGGCTTTTGATTTAAAACCAAATTTCAGAAGTAACAGATGCCAGGCAGTACAGAGGTAAAGCAAGACTTGCTGAGCAGCAGACTGAGGTAAAACCTGCAAAGAAAATCAAAATAAGATTTTAGCCATATGTATCAAAAAAGCAAAAGCCTGCTAAGTGTGGCCTTCAAGTGAAATTAATTTTCATTTCTATTTTTGGTGAGGATGATGATGGAATTCATCACATTTGAAGTGTGGTGAAGCAAAAGAAGTTTAATATATGCAAAGTGGAAGGAAAACAGAGACTTTGGATCTAACTTATGCAATTATGAAATCCTGAAAACTAGGTCCTGGTATACAAGTTTTAAGCTAGTCTGTACAATTAGAAGTGGAGCTCTACAACTAAATCAAAGGGAAAATGCCCTGTTTGTACTCAGGTACCTACAAGCCACAAGTGCAACATGACCATGGAAAGAAAAGTGCGTACAGTCTCTGGTGTGTACTGGTGTTACACACCTAAGAAACGTGCAAAGTGTTTGTGCCCATGCATTGGGTCCCAAAGGCCTCTCCTGTCTTCAACTCTGGACTCCAGAAAGGTAACATCTGATAGGTGCAGGTACAGGGAAGGGCTCTCCCCCCGTGCAGAGGAATGGTAAGACTGTCTTACAAAGAGAAACTGGAAGACTAGGGTCATCTGAGCCCAGCTAACGTAAGTCTAAAGGGAGCTCTGACTGTGCTTGGAAAATAGACAAGAAGGTAAACAGCAGGAACAGGAAAAGGCTGTTTCACTAAATGGTTGTTCTAACACAGGAACAAAAAAATTGTCAATAAATAGATTTTAGTTGGCAGTGTTCAGATTGATGGCTAACTACATAACAGCCACACAGCAGGTGCCAGCAGGTTAATACCTTAATTCAAGGCAGGATGGTTGGTTAGGGAGAAGGAAATGATGGGGCATGGGTTGTAGGATACACTGGATTTTGTGATCCATGGACTTCTTATATTCTTTCAATTCATTCTAAATCCAAAGAAATGATAGTATCTACCTTTGAAAGTGGCAGGCCTACATTTTGACTTTTCACAGGGAGCTGCTATTATTTATATTATCCATGCCACAGCATTGGTAAAACTCTTCTCTTCTTTCCAGTTATATGAACTCAAACAATGACTTCCCAGTATTTTTCAGTCTGCATGTCTGTTGGTACTTCATAATCATCAGAATACTGCACCTCTTTAAGGATTAAAATTACAATTATACCAAAAATGATAGATTTGCATCCCTATTAAATTGCAGGCAATGTTTAAAGTTTCAAGTTCGAATATACCTCCATGATTAGGCTAACAAGATGTGACCTCCGTGTTTTTCTTGGTGTCCTCACAGGGACTTGGATACTTGCCAGCCAGATTGATCCATGTTCTTAATCCATTTTGCAAATGCAATTATCAAGGGGCTTAGATAAAGTCAGTGCAAGAGAAAACAAAGTTATTCATGGGTAAGATAAATCTGCTTAATGCCACAGAAACTATTCCTTCATTTGCAAGGAAGCCCTTCAGGACTATTTTGTCACAGTAGCTTTTCCACATTGGCAAATTAGCTCCAAGGGTGCAGCTATATACCAGCTGAGGCGCAAAGGGTAAGCTTCAGTTGGCTGTAGCAGGAGCAAGGCTTAAGAACATGATTGCATCCTGTGGAAAGACACCCACACTGCTTCACCAATGCTAAGCCCAGAAACAGGAGCTCTCAGAGGCTCTTGTCAGAGCAGTGGGAAGAATATGTAAATAGTGTAGCTAAGAATCTACCATATACTGGTATACTGAGTATACAGGTTTGCAGGTCTTGTCCAGATTCCTGGCTGCCTGTGGGCATAATCCACACAGAGACAGCTGAAGTTCTAATCAACTTGTTACTCCTGGCAGTGCAACATGGGAAGCAGGAAAGGTTCATAAGAGATTGGACTGGCTTGGCCATGCATGTTTGAAAAGCAGGGGTAGTGAACTGAGAGAAGAAAGTGCACAGATGGCTTCTTTAAATCATGAGAATAACTTTCAGTAGGATTGGAAAAGTAAAATGATATTTTGACAGAATTTCTTAGCTGTTCTGTGTGAGGTGGAACATACAGACATATTCAGGAGGAAGGTGGACATCACCAAATGAGTATTTCATCTAGGCAGTGGCTCAGCACTTAAGCATAAGACCTACTGCTGTTTTGTGTGCCAAAGGGTACCTGAGCCACCAAGAAAAGATGTCTGGACAGATTAGACTCAGGACCTACAGGAAGGCTGTGCCTTCCTGGAATGCCAGACAGGCACCCTAGGAGATACCAGCATGTACCAAACATGTATGTTGAGGCATCTGAGTCACCATGTAATAACGAGTTTCTTGCTGAAATCTGCCCTCCTTGATCCTCCTCAGCACCAAAAATAAGTAAAAATCAAAGAAATATATGGTTTGTTACCAGTCTGTGGTAGTCCTACCTGAAATAAAATAGTCAGATCAGCCCCAACTGAGACTAAAAGAAACATTTTACTCTCCTCTGCGGCATAAGCTTATCTTTGCTAAGGAGAGGCAAATCTTGGAGGCTTGGGATCCACTTATTTTTACATTTAGATTTAGGACTCAGATCAATGTGGTCATGGTTGCATTTACTTCAGCTGACCAACCAGACCCTTCCAGACCTCAGCTGGATCTGCCTTTCCTCTCCAACAAAAAAGAGTATTCCTTCTCCTTCCCCTAGTTTCCAGTTTGGGTGCCTTGGTAGTCATCCAGCATTCATATGACCTTGATAAAACATGTAAATATTCTAAGAGCATTAGTCAATCTGCTGCCATTTTAGATATGGGCCTTGTGGCACCTCTGCCATGTCCCTGATGGAAGCATACAGCTATTTAGTATCCTGAAAACTGAAATGCTTTCGTCTGCCTGCAGTGTCAGCAGGCTTTGTAAAGAAATGGCGTAATGATTTGTGAAATGGTTAACAAAAAGTCAGGCTGGATGATAAAATATATGCCTGTAGTCTTAAATGCAGTTAAATCATGTCATCCCTGTTACTCAAAGCATTACCAAGAGCAGATTCTGGGAGATAAAGGAAAGAAAACACACTCACTACTATAGTCTGGAGTCACTATAGTTAAGTACAAGTAGAAAAAAGAAAGAAGAGCATCTAAACCAGAATCAGAGGAGGCAAAAAGACAAAAGCAGGCAAAAAAAGGGCAATTTTGCAGAGAACAGTTTAGTCTGCAGGAAGGGAAATGGAGGTGAGAAAAGAGCTTCAAGCTTGCTTGAATTAATAGTGCAGATAGAACCAAACTGAACACAAAGAGGAAGAAAGACAAGAAAAGCATCCACTGGAGCAGGTTGCCCAGAGAAGTTGTGGATGCCCCAACCCTGGAAGTGTTCAAGGCCAGTTGGGATGGGGCTTTGAGCTGCCGGGTCTACTGGAAGGTGTCCCAGCCCATGGTGTGGGAGGTTGGAACTAGACAATCTTTAAGGTATGTCCAACCCAAACCATTCTATGACTGTTATGACAAGCAAGGATGTGCCCAGGGCACCTTTACAAAAATTACTTTTAGTTTGTTTAGAAACCAGTGAAAAGGACAGTGTTT